TCTAACTAAAACATCTAAATATAATTTTGCCACATAAAAGTGTTTTGTTTAGATATTAGGTTATGTTTTTTTTTTGGCTATAATTACCAATTTCCCTAGGACATTTAACATTTAACAACATGCTGATTGCTTAATCACTTAAAAATCAAATCGGAAACTTGCTACAAAACAAAATATCGATAAATAATTAATGAAAACTACTTAGCTCTAGTTCAAAGCACAAATATTAAGAAAGTCCTGGAACAAAAGCACTGAGTTTAATATTTATTACTAAACAATTTAACACCAAAGGCCTAATGATTCTATTTGTGGCAAGAACAAAGACAGCGCAATTTGAAGCAAAACAGATTGAATCACTCTTGATTCCATCACCAACATCTTGAACAGGTGCTCTTATTGTAACCCCATGACCAAAGATCAACATCTCATTATGTCCAATACATTCTACCTTTTCCTACTTGTTACTCTCAAGATACGACTAAAAGATGTAAAACAAAAGTTTGTTTTCAAATCTTGCTTCTTTTAAGCTCAAGGTGATCAATATCCTGGTTTCCCTAAGATATATAGTTATATACTCCTTATTTCTAAATATAACGACGGTCGAACAGACACATAAAACTCCACAACGAACAATTCTATCGGTCGTACTACAAGGATCCACGTTTACTATGGATAGTTTTATCCTTAACACACATGATCAAAATGAGCAACTTTACATGTACCACATTAAAAATATATGGTGAGTTCTATAATAATTCAGTATTCTCTAGAAATCGAACCCTATACATTTTCAAGTAGAAAAATCAATTAATAGTTGGCCAACCAAGGATTAAAAGGCTTTCACAATTTGATACATACACGATATTATAATTAACATGACTACTAAACTAATTTTTAGAATTTGTTTATTAAAATTAAGTAATCATTATATGTTGTTTAAAATTATAATAATTTGTTCTTATATACATATTTTTTTCTCCAAATTATGATTTTTAGTGTACTACATTCAAATATCGCGGAAATCTAATCTCTTTAAAAATCATGTATTTTAGCTAAAACTATTTGGCTTTCTTAATTTTGGCCTTTCAAGTTCAAAACTATGATTCTACAAGATTCATTTTGGACCTCCGGAAATATCTTTTAAATCTTTGAGAATCTAAATTTTATTGTTAAATTCTAGTCATTATAGCCGAAATTACTATGTATTTCAGTATGTATTTCAGAACGTAGTTCATTCAATATGGAGAGAACGAAACCCTCGAAAACATGGTGAGACTGCTTCGACTTTACATCAACTCGTCAAGATGATCGATAAGAATGTAAGGAATCAACTATACTTGATTCGAAGACAGGATGACATGAAGTACGAAGATGGGTTGAGAGTTTGGTTTTCTACAAGAGAGTAGCAAAATAGGTTAATCTTTGCACGATCAAAACAGTTGGGAAAA